ACAGTCAAATGAAATGAAAAAGAATACTATTTCAAAAGTTAAGTTCAAAAATGAAATGGAAAAGAAAAGTATTTCAGGTCAAATGAATGAAAACAAGAGGCTGTCAGAGTGACAGCAAACCGGATTTTCCTGCAGAGGTCGAACCCTAAACAGTTAAGCAAGTATGGACACTACATTTAAGCTTAAAACAGCTCTGAATTTGGATTGTGATTGAATATTTGACACAGCATAGGTTTGTGACACAAAATGAATGTGGTTTAAGAACTGAAATACTTGAAATTGGACATTTAAATACCTATTATGGTCCAATATCAAAAATCTAAGTACATATTAGAATCAGCATATCAAAGAACCCCAAGAATTCAATTTTTGATGAAATCAGACAAAAGTTTAATTTAAGACCCTTTGGACCTCAATGTGGACCAATTTGATAAAGAAGCCCACAATCCAAAATCTCTCAATACATGGTTAGATTCAGCATTTCAAAGAACCCCATATATATTTTTTTTGTTGAATCAAACAAAGTTTAATTTTGGACCCTGATTTGGACCAACTTGAAAACTGGGCCCAAAAATCTAATATTTAAATACAGGTTTAGATTCAGCATTTGAAAGAACCCTATATATATTTAATTTATGTTGAAATGAAACACAGGTTAATTTTATCCATAATATTTTCTGTGCAAATGGAAATAACTCAAACTGGATAAATAGTTCTCTAAAATAAGATATGAGGCAATTTTTCAAATTATAATCAATAATATAATAACAACAACCAGTGATGATTAAGTTCTCTAAAATTAGATATGATTTAACACTCAAACATTGCTAGAATCAGCATATCAAAGAACCAAAGAATTCAATTTTTGATGAAATTAATCAAAAGTGTAATTTAGGACCCTTTGGACCTCAATGTGGTATTATCTTATTAATAATGAAAAGAAATACAGGTTTAGATTAAGCACTTCAAAGAACCCTATATATATTCAATTTATGTTGAAATCAAACACAGTTTAATTTTAAACTTGAAAACTAGGCCCAAAATCAGAAATCTAAATATATGTTTATTAATAGACAATATAAGCTTAGTTTTTAAAGGAGTTTACTTTATCAAAAAAAATATATATATAGCATTCAGAAAATTAGTTTTTACAGAATAACAAACAAACTTGCCATAAAATTCTACAAACAATTTACCAAAGAAGAGGGGCCTGATGGGGGGGGGGGGGGGGTCTCATCACGATTTACGAGTTGATTTATTTGTCAATCACTATTCACAGAAAATAAATTTCAATGATCACGGATCACGAAAATATAAAAAAAAAAAAAAATCTATAGAAAAACGGATCACGATAGCGAAAATTGCGCCGATCACGAAGAATGAAAATAACCCATCAGGCCCCTCAAAGAAAAGAAGAAAAAAATCCAAAAATTTATTTATCATAAATACTATGTCATTTCAAAATCTATAAAACTTATCAGTAATAAGAAATAATTGTAACAGAATGCTGTTATGAAGTCTCCCAAACAAAGCTCCAATAATACGTCATTCCCATTATATTTTGACATTGAGCAATGTCCAGTACAAATTGGTTTATGATATGCATTAGTGACGCCTATGGATTGACCCTGTATGTCATTCAAATCTGCTTGAAATTACGAACAGGAATTTATATGGTTTAGGGGTGGAGATCTCGACCGTTTACAAGTTCTCAAAAGGGGGGGGGAGGGGGTGATCCCCAGGGGACTCTCCCTATATTTCATATGATTTGTTTTTTTGTCCTGTACAAGAATATATATGGTTTAGGGGTAGGGATTTTGACCGTTTACAAGTTCTTAAACAGGAGGCGGTGGGGGTGACCCCAGGGGACTCGCCTTATATTTCATATGATTTGTTTTATGGTCCCATACAAGACCATATGGTTTCCGCATGGGGATCTTGACCGTTTACAAGTTTTCAAAAAGAAGGGGGTTGGAGGTTACCCCAGGGGATTTCTCCTTAATTTCATTTGATTTGTTTTATTGTCCCTTTCAAGAATATATATGGTTTAGGGGTAGGGATCTAGACCGTTTACAAATTATCAAAAAGAAGGGGGGTGGGGGTGACTCCCATGGACTTCCCCTATATTTCATTTGATTTGTTTTATTGCATACAAGAATATATATGGTTAAGGGTGGGGATCTCGACCGTTTACAAGTTCTCAAACAGGAGGGGGTGGGGGTGACCCCAGGGGACTTGCCTTTTATTTTTTATTTGATTTGTTTTATTGTCCCATACAAGAATATATATAGTTTCAGGGTGTGGATCTTGACCCTTTACAAGTTTTCAAAAAGAAAGGGGGTGGGGGTGACCCCCATGGACTTCCCCTATATTTCATTTGATTTGTGTTATTGTCCCATACAAGAATATATATGGTTTAGGGGTGGGGATCTCGACCATTTACAAGTTCTTAAACAGGAGGGGGTGGGGGTGACCCCACTGGACTCGCCTTGTATTTCATTTGATTTGTTTGATTGTCCCATACAAGAATATATATGGTTTCGGGGTGCAGATTTTGACCGTTTACAAGTTTTCAAAAAAAAGGGGGGTGGGGGTGACCCCAGGGGACTCACTCCCCCTCAATTTCATTTGATTTGTTTTATTGTCCCATTCAAGAAAATATATGGTTTAGGAGTGGGGATCTCGACTGTTTACAAGTTATCAAAAAGAAGGGGGTGGGGGTGAACCCCATGGAGTTCCCCTATATTTCATTTGATTTGTGTTATTGTCCCGTACAAGAATGTATATGGTTTAGGGGTTCGGGATCTCGACCGTTTACAAATTCTCAAACAGGAGGGGGTGGGGGTGACCCCAGGGGACTCGCCTTTTATTTCATTTGATTTGTTTTGTTTGCACATACAAGAATATATATGGTTTCAGGGTTGGGATCTTGACTGTAACAGTTTACAAGTTTTCAAAAAGTAGGGGGGTGGGGGTGAACCCTGGGACTCCCCAAATATTTCATTTGATTTGTTTTATTGTCCCATACAAGAATATATATGGTTTAGGGGTGGGGATCTCAACCGTTTACAAGATAAAAGCACATTCTCAAATTGAAAGGGGGTTGGGGTAAGACTATATATGGTTTAGGGAGACTTAATTGTCTACAAAATGTCTAATAATGAACAGTAAATTTCAAATTTCATTTATACAGTCCTACTAGTTAATTTCAAACTTTATATATACAGTCCTACAGATCTTATCAGGAAACAGAAAATTTTCAAATAAATCTGTCACTCCAATGATATTATATGCTAAGATATAACCCAGATCTAATTAATAATAAATAATGTAATTAACTTCAAAATGTCTAATAATATAGCTTATAATCATTACCACTTAGGAAATAGATAATTTTCAAATAAATCTGTCACTCCAATTTTTATTGTGAGATAAGACATTATGCTTAGTCATAAAAGAGATAACAAGAGTAAAATATTTAAAAATTCCACTTTTGGATATTAAAAATGGCGATAACTCACAAAGGAGAATACTAATATCTTAAAAATTGAACTAAACCTTCATTAAGTCCCGGGAAACAACATATTTGAATTTGAAAAAAAATTGTTAAAGCGTTTTCATGTTATTGTGCTGACACTGTTTGGCAGCCGCCCGTAGATCCGCCCAGCCGCACATCACCATTTAAATAACTGATATTTCCTTCGAAAATCCGGTTAATAAAATAGTTATTCAAATCAAAAACTTAGATAAAAAAAGTAACTGTATACTTTGTGTTTTAGAATTTAGAAAATCGTATCAAAATAAAGCCAATGTAGTTGCTGTTAAATAACTCAAGTGGAATGATTCATTCCGGCGAGCTGGTATATAGAGGAAGGTGGCAGTGCTACACTGCTGGCTCATATATACAATTTGGGGAGTGGTTTTCACCCCACCAAAGCAACTCCTGATCAAGTGATAAGGAAAATCTTATCAATTTCAAAGATATAAATAAAAATATGGTATTGAAGAAAACTTGAATGAATTAATATTCATCAAATATATAAAGTGATATGAAATTTAAATACTTTTATAATTAAAATATTCAAGCCACTTTGTATTTTAGTCTGTCTAATCAAATTAAACATAAAATAAACATTTAATTAAGATACATGTAATACTAATCTGAAACAATTAAAGGGAGACTACCTAAACCACATACATTACATCTACGCTAGGATGAGACACATGTTTTTAGATGCAAAATTGATAGGCAAGGGAGATAAATAAAAATATGCTAAGAATAGCCACGGTAACCTATAATTTTTTGACCAAAAAATATTTTCCTTATATTATTTTTCTTTAATTCTAGCAAGGGTTCATTTAAAAAACAACTTTCTAAAGTCTGTATCTCTAAAAAGGCTACCAATGTTGCCTATGGGGAAATAAATTGTTTTTTGCAAGCTACATGTATAATCAGTTGCAGCAACTAAATTTGCAATCAGATTTTTCATTCAACTGCTTATTAACAGGAAACCTTTTGTTAAATAGTTATTATGCACCTTATCACTATGTGTCCACCATAATACGTCTGGACATCAAAAAGCCTTTTAAGCAAATTAAGGTTCCCCTAAAAGTTTGACGTCACAATAGAAAATGTCTGACGCCACAAAGGAAAAGTGATTGTTGTATGAAGTCAATAGTTCAAGTATCGCAGATTCCTAAATAGCAATAAGGTCTATAAGAATGTGTGGAAGCGTAGTGTAGAGTGTTGAAAAGTCAAAACTGTCAACTGTCAACTTGTTGTTTGTAAGTATGTATGACTGACTGGGTGGTTTCATATAAGGCACAAAATGTGCACCAGAATTAAGTTACCTTGTTTTGTAACCCCCATTGACATAATGACATAATGGTTACATTGGTATATATATCTAGGTGGTTTTTAACTACCTTAATAAGATTATAAGATGCTAATACACAGGGGGTGGGCAATATACTTGAATAAAGACGTGGACAATACTGACTGGTAAATTGTGTTTGCCAATTTGAAGTCATCTAAGTTTAGAGTTACTTATGAATCAAGTTTACTATGAGTAATCTTCTTGTTTTCTGTATATTAAAAGTTTTCCATGGGAGACAACTTCATAACCCATTCGGAAAGTTTCCTGTTTTTTCAAAGGTGTAAAATTTCATAGTTCCGAATAGGAAGTGGTTCGGCCATCTTGAAAATAGCCAAAAAAAGTTTACTAAATACTAATGTTTTAGAGTACTTGAACTTCTTTGAAACTAGGCATTTTAGTAGGAGATAAAAGGAATAAGATTTGCACTCTTTGGGCGTTATGAGTGCGGAGTCAACTGACTCTAAAGGTAAAAATTATTGCGTGCTTGCAATATAAAAATTATGCGCTAAAAGGACAAAGAATTTGAAAATTAGCTCACCCTGAAACCAAAGATAACCGTTTATTTTACATCCTATATTCAGTTCCCTCATAAAATCATGTCTGTTATACAGTGTATTGACTCTTCAATTCATCAATCGAAACCGTATCAAGAGATTTTCACGGCTTTGTCAGTTGTGCATATAACTTGTAAGCATTTGATTTATGATTTATCATTTAATACAATTTATTGGTTGTCTCTTTGCCTGTGGTATATCTTTCGCCTCATTTACAAGTATCTGATATAAATTTGCAAATTATTTTTCAAGCTTATTTAGCTACCTGCGGAACCGTAGCTCTTATTGTACTTTTTGAAGTTTCGGATGTAAATCTACAAATTATTTTTCTAGCTCAATCAGCAAGCTGGGGAACAGTAACTATTATTGTTCATGTTGTGATATTTTTTTTTTCAATTTGTCAACCATCTAGCTACAGATGATTCTTATGTTGATATTCACAAACACTGGTTTAGGTTACACTTATTTGAAATGGTTTATCACCAGTACGTACATGTAGCATGTCAATGTATATAGTCAGTTTTGTTAGATATTTTTCTGTGATATTAAGTACCTATTTATGTTAAAATATTCAATTCCTTGACACTATTATTTAATAATTTGCTTATCTTCATGTCTCTGTCTATTTCTATCTGCCATTAATTTTTGGTCTCGTACATGTACAAATGTAGTAGCGTGTTCACCTGGAGTACGGGAGGTCGTAGGTTCGAACCTTGGTCAGGTCAAACCAAAGACTTTTAAATTAGTATTTGCTGCTTCTCTGCTGAGCACGCGGCATTAAGGAGTAAGAGCAAAGACTGGTCAGCTTGGAGTCCGAATAATGTGTCAGGGTAAGGTGACATGTCTTCCTGCGGACTGTTACCTTGTGAACAAGCATTTTAATCTAAACTAGCTCAGCGTGTCAGTCTAGTATAAAGCAGGGTTAATATTTATATTACATTAACATATTCTCCTCCTAAAAATACATATTAATTTGCCGCTGGACATTAAGCAGCCATCCATCATCATTATTATCAGCCATTATATATCTCGTCATGACGTCACTTGAAATAAGAACAGATACCTCCAATAAGAAAACACGTACTGGTTTGTTTACTTTTTCTATTCAGGGATCTCCATGACCTGTTTTCAGTGTTCTCCCCAGGCCGATATGACGCTGCGGTGCCGCAGCGCCTTCATAATATTTTTGTAGATCCCGCAGCGTCTTAATTGGCCGCTGTCCCTTAATACTTGATCCCGCAGCGTGTTAATTTTCACATTTTCATTATAAATGTTGGTTAAAATTGTCAAGTTACTGATCACCGCTGATGGGTCGGTCAGTGTTACGCAATATAACTGATAATTAGTTTTACCTGATCCACGCTTATCTCAGCCTTATCGGACTATGTTATCAGGTAATAGCGTAAATGATCATCAAGAAGATAGATATTTTTTGAAGAAAATTAAAAATTTTAAAAACTTCAGTGCAGAAATTGAAGAAATAGATCGCAAATACATTGTATTTACGCATCGTGTGTGTGATCACTTGACCATTTATATCACGAATTTTTTCATTGGTCGAGAAGAAGAATCTATTTAACACTTTCCTTACCGGATTGAACTGGTCTATGCGTTTCTATGACATTATAAAATATTGCACGAGACCGTTACCGGCCCGAATTAATTTCCAGATAAGTGCGCGTTTTCGCTTATGTTTAGTATATGGGGGTGTAGGACAGTTGCAGCCGTCACAAGACAGGAAACGGAATGAAAACGGTTGAATAACATGTCAACCCATTTGTCAGTAACAAAATTTCAGAATATTAAAGTTGTTTAAGTACATTTTACCATGCGAGTAAAACGAAACAATAAGTTTTACGGACAAGCGCTCGCTAAAAAAAGTTTGAAATACTTAATTCTTAATTGTCCACGAGTTGTGCATATTATTGTTTTCCCTATTAATAAATCACTTCAGAAAAGATCATCCTTAATCAAGAGAACGATTACTTAAAGAGAAATCGAGATATTTTCTCATTATCTATCCATCATTTTATTGAATGTATCAGCGTTCAGCCATTTGTGTAATGTTGTCATAGCCTCGTTTTAATCCGGAAACTTCCGAGATATTTATAGACGAAAGGATCAATACACAAAAATGTGTACTCTGATCTGCACATGTAACGTTAAATGATTTAGCATGCTGACAACGAAATTTTAAAGTAACTGGAATACATGTAACTACAAGTCAAATAACAAGTCAACTTTTATGAACAGGTGAAACAATTACTTACTTTAATAAGAAAGGAGTCCCAGAAAACATGAAAAGTTGTTTTATGCAGATAACCACTGGTTGAAAGCAGACTGTTTTACTTGATAATTGATTATTCTCACAGTTTTAAAAGTTCAAATAAATTTCTCCAACAGTAATTTAAGTAAAAACTCCATGATTAGAATAAATTGTCAACACTAAATGTCTCAAACGCTCTAAACATCCAAAGAACTTTCCAACAAAGAAACAAACAGTTTAAAGAGTAACAAGTTAATAGCTAACAGTATTTTGCCATTGTGTGGTAGGCTGTAAAGCACTCTGGTAGGCACAAGTGTTTACCACATTCAAGACAGCCATACATTGTTTGCTTTCTCTTGTCCTGTTTACCAGCGGAAACCTTCATCCAACACACATGACACCATGACTTTTTCCCCACAATGTTTGGCATATGTCTCTCTATAAGACGTGATGGTACTGGGGCTGCAGATTGACGACCTCTAGTACCAATGCCACAGTACTCATCTATCAAACTACTGGCAATTTGACGTGAGAATTGGAGATATGTCATAGCAGGTGAGTTTCCAACGGTTTGATGGTTTGGACTCAATAAGAAAAGCCTGTATGCATTGTATTTCAAAATTTCCAGAAATTTAAAGAACACCCGTTTATACCACTTCTGGGTTTTTTGGTTAAAGCAGTAGTACTGAATATACTGGTCTGCTTTTGTAACAGTAAATTTGGTCCGGTAATAAAATTTGTCCGCCGGACTACTTTTCCTAGGTAATCAAGTCCGTGACCGTTATTTTACTAGGAAATTAAGTCCCTGGATAAATTTTCCTATGAAAATAAGTCCGTAGCTAGTAAAATATGTCTGGCACCTATTTTCCTAGGAAAATTTTTATATTTCTGTATTCTCCTTTTTTGTATGAAAAAAAGTCTCTTTAGAAGTTTATTTCTTAAGACATTACTTAAATTAATCAATATCAAAATCAAGAAAGGAACATTTGTGATTATGTACATCATAAAAGTCTGTGATACTAATTTTCCTAGGAAAAAAAGTCCGTTTAATTATTAAAAAACACCTATATTTTGATAAAATAGTGAGATATCAATGCACAACTGTTAAACAATTTAAAAACATATAAGTTACAAATTCCATTGTTTACATGTAAATTATTTCTTTCATTACAAAATTTCCTATAAAAATAAAGGACATGGACGTTTTTACCTAGGAATATTAATGGCCTGGACATGAATTCCTAGGAAAATTAGTCTGGGCAGATAAATTTTATTAAAAGATTAATGCACAACTGTTTAACAGCATTGAAACATAATTAAAAATTCCATTGTTCACATGTAAATGATTTCTCTCATTACAAATTGTCTTATCAAAATAATGAACATGGTTGTGTTTACTTAGCAATATTAATGGCCTGGACAGGATTTCCTAGGAAATTTAGTCTGGGCACATAAATTTTATTAAAAGATTAATGCACAACTGTTAAACAACATTAAAACATAAGAATTAAATATTCCATTGTTTACATGTAAATGATTTCTTTTATTACACATTTTCCTATTAAAATAAAGGACATGGACGTTTTTACCTAGGAATATTGATGACATGGACATAAATTCCTAGGAAAACGAGTCTGGGGACATAAATTACTGACATCGGACTAAATATACTAGTAAATTCTGTAACCATGGACTTTTTATACTAGTAATATTTGTCCACCCGGACAAATTTTACCAGGACTAATTTATCACTTACACTTTGTCAACACCTCCCATGTATTTAGTGTAGTCGACTATGATTTTTGGACATGGTATATCTGCTTTATCAAATTGCCCATCTATTTGAACCAAACGCTGTACTTCAAACCTGGAATGATCATGGATTGTTGAAATTGCAGTTACAATTTTTTTGTCTTTCCATAAGACTCCAGAGATCGACTTCCTTTGAAAAAACTTCATGTCCCCCCTATTATCAATACCAACAGGGTGTTTTAACATGAAATCAGCTGGTAAACCGCTTCTGTTTTTGCGGACTGTTCCACATGCTGCAGTTTGATAGTTATCAAACAGGTCTTGGAATAGTTTTGGTGAAGAAAAGAAATTGTCAACATGTACATGATATCCCTGCCCAACAATATCAGCCCCCTCTATACATTTTTTTACAACATGTTCACCCAATTGGCCTTGCGGTCTATCAGTTTTTCCTGTATAAACATCTGTATAGCAGATGTATCCTGTATTTGAATCCGCTAATGCCCATATCTTAATACCCCATTTAGTTGGTTTGGCTGGCATATATTGTTTGAATTTGACCCTTCCTTTGAAGGGGATCATGCATTCGTCTATTGAGACCTGGCGTGTAGGGACAAATTCTCTTTTCATTGATGTGTTAAACATATTCAAGATGTTTCTTATTTTATAAAGTACATCATATGATGGATGACCTGGTTGTTGTGCATTATGGTTGTCACTGAAATGAAGGTACCTCATGACTTGCATAAATCTATTCCTGGGCATTGTTTTACGGAATATTGGAGATTCCATGAAGGGATCAGTTGACCAGTATAGTTTGGTTTCTGGTTTAACATCAATTCCCATCAAAAAGCAAAGACCAATAAAAGCTTTAATTTCTGGCAAACTAGGTTT